GAAGTAACAGTACAGTAGTAGTGGCAGGAGAAAGCACGAGTGAGAGAAGGGAGAAAAACTTACCACCGGGATGGGAATGGATTTGGTTAGAAAACCCCTGGACCCATAGTGAGGAGAGAGATTGATGGTGCCGAGAGCAGCAGCTGGTTACAGGTCGAGAGCTGTCTTTCCCCTGAAACCATCATACTTAAGAGAGGCAGAAACCCAAGAGTGGAGATGGAGGCTCAGGGAAGAAAAGAAGAGAGTAGAACAAGAAAGGAGAGCAAGGACAGAATGGCGAGCACAGGAGAGGAGGAGGAGGAGGCGAGGGCCTTGGGAACCTGGGAGTTCATAGGACCCCGGAAGAATTCCTGGGAAATGCGTCCATGTCCCTGTTGCCTTTATTGACAGGGACATCCATGAAGGACTGGTTTTCAGCAGAGCAACTGGGACCTTCGAACCTCAGTTACGGAAACCTGTTTGTTAAAGAAGATTGGAAACCCTTTTCAGCTCCGTTGGAAGAAAAGGAGAGAGAGAGAGAGGATGTTCAAATTGATATAAACAGTTTTATTGATGTTCCCAAAATAAATGTTAAAGTTGCAAAGTCATGAGTCATGGAGGAGGACCTGACGCTAGGCTCTGTTGTTACACGTTTAATAATAACTAGTGACAATAATGACAACAGTTAGGAGCCTTGCCTTCACTAGGCAAGAATTTAAAAAGGAAAGAAGGGAGGTTGTCTTTTTGAGGGGCGAACAACCAAGACTAAATCAAATCTGCCCTTTTTTGGACATGGTTCGCCTTCTCCCTGTTTTTCTTAAATGGCGTTGGCGATCATTCAAAACCAGATTACAGTTCAATATTTCAGGGAACTTCTAATCCAAGGAGGACAGAGGGCAACTTTTGTGCCATCTGGACCCGGCAATCTTATTTCAGGGAACCTCTAATCCAAGGAGGACAGAGGGCAACTTTTCTGCCATCTGGACCCGGCAATCTTGAAAACTTGCTGACTTTGTTTGTGCCTTTTTAAATTGGCCTCATAGAACGTATCTCGCCAGTGTGTGTTTTGAAAATCAAAATCAGAATGTTCAAACGAAACGAGGGCGCAAAATCAAATGTTGCTTCCTGGGAATCGCAATGATAATGGGTCCTTTTTAAGAAGAAAGGTGGGGTAGAAATATTTTAAAGAAATAAATATCTGTGACCCTCCTTAGGTCAGGGATCTGTTCTTTTGTATTTTGTGAAGTATGCTGAAGGCATTGTGGAAAGGTGCCTTAAATCAGAGAAGAAATCTAAAACTGTCCAGGAAACTCAGGATTATTTTGACACAGGAAGGAGAAGCACAGGGAGAAACAGAAAAAAGTTAATATTTAGAGGCTTTGTGGATGACTTCTCTACTTGGCAAATAATGCTTTCAAATAAATTCCTTTTTTCCTGCCTGATTCAGTGACCCAAAGAGGCAGAGAGACCAAGACTCCCCCATCCAGGCACTCCCAGAGGAGATTGAGCGAGTCTGTAGTCGCCCTGCCAGGAGTCTGGCTTGGCTTCAGTCACGTGATAGGAAGGGGAAATCAAGTCTTACACATATTGTATTAGAAAACGGTGTGTTGCGTCCTCCCACACCCAGCCAGGAAGAAAAGCTTTGCAACGTTAAACAGGACGCTTTGGAAACAACTGCCGCAGCTTGTTTTCTTAACAGACACAGAGAGAGAGAGAAATAAAAAAGCAGGGACCAGGTCAGTATTATTTGTTCCGGATTTTGCTGGAAGAGGAAAACCCAGGAAGGAGACTACGAAGAAAGGCAGGGGGAGGGGAGGAAGCAGGAGAGAAATTTGTGGACAGAAAAGCCAAGTAAAGAAGGGATTTCTTAAAGAGAAGAAGAGAGGGAAGGATACATTTTGGTTGCCAGTCTCGTCCCCACTTCAGCCGTTTGAAATGCTTGGAAATGGTTGCAGGTGAGTTTGCTGAGCCAAGCACATGGCCAAAGGTATAACCATGCCAGTGCTAAATTCCTATTTATGGGATTCTTGGCCCTTTAGTGTGAGCATAGACATTAGGATCAGTAAGGGGACTGGCATTGTTGACAAAGTATGGAGGGGCTGCCCTGATGGCTCGTGACCATCCCTGCTGAGATTTTGGTCCTTTTCATAAGCGGTGAAATGTCTTGAAGCCACCCCACACCTCTTGAATGGGTCCCCCTTCAGATGCCATCCTGGGCTGAGCAGAGACACTCCATTATCCTCTTGGCAAAGAAATCTTCCATTGTACTGTCAAGTTGTCCTGGAAATATGAATGAGCAATCTCCAAAATGCCCAGTCTTCCACAAACGCTGCTCAGTTCCTGCAGACTCAGGGGGTCTATCAAGTGGAAAAGTGTCCGTCCTCATAGGAAATAACTCCTCTTTTAAAAGAAATACCCTTCCCATCCCTCTGTTTTTCTTCCTTTGGAGGAAAGTGGGAAGGAAAGCAAGGCTTAGGCTGCTAGAAAGGCTGCCTGGGATCTGCTTCTCCCTTTCAGGGATCTGGGGAGCCTCCTCCTCCTCCTCCCCATTGCAACCTAGGGAGGGATGGTGAATATATCCCAGTAGGGTTGCCTGGAAGGGTGGGGGAATTGGGGGAGGCCAGAAGGAGAAGAGGGGTGGCAGGGGAAGGCCCCAAACTCCCAAGCCCAGCAAAAGGCTCTTTTTGTGTTTCATAATGGAAATATAAATTAGTGTTAAGAAATAGCACAAATAACCGGATGAATAAATCAGCCCAACAGATAGCAGGAACAGAGGAATCATTGGTTGGAAAGGGGCAGGGGGACCCAGCGGAAGCATCAGCCTCAGATAAGGTGACTTAGACATCCAGCCTTCCAACCTGGGGCATCATTGGAAATGTTGAAAAACAGGCTGGGGACAGGAAGAGAAGCCAATAATACACTCTCGGATTTCCCATCCCTTTTGTAGAACCAAGAGTCAAAAGAATCAGATGAGAGCTTGCTTTGTTTGTTTGTATTTCTGGAAAGAGTGGAAGAAATTGGTGGTTGTGCATTTATCCATAAGTGGTCTCCAAGTTGCTCTGAAATAGTGAAAAAAAATTTCCAACATGTGGGAGAACTCCTGATGTTTACTGTTGCTAATTGCTGGAATAATTTCTGGAAAAGATATTCTCTTGGAATTTCATTTGCACGTGCTCAGCCTAGGAGCACACTTTTCACTTTGGAAATGAATGTGTTTTACTGGAATGTGAATCCTCTCAAGCTGTAGCATTTCTAGGGATTATGATTTTAGCCTGAGAGAAGCTCATGAGACTGACTGACACACATCCCCTTTGTCTCTCCCACAGAGGCCCTAAGGATGCCACCAACACCTTCCTCTCTTCCTTCTGATGGAGTGGAACCAAATCAGGTAATATTATAATATAATTTATTGTCATTGTAAGTATATACACAGTATACCATACAACGAAATTCACACAGGTACAGAGAAAGCAGTTAAAAAGACATGTTGGGTTTTTAAATCCCATTGTATTTAACCACTTTAGTTCTGGATTAGTCTGGCATTCCCTTTTAACAAAATACTCCATGTTTTAAATGCTTATATAGCAGTGTATTCTCAAAGGGTTATATAGCAGGTTGGTATGACATAGTCCTCTCCATGCAAGGAATAACAATATTTATTCTATCTGGCTGTTGCAAATGAGGAAGATTTTTTCTCTCTTCAGTTTTGCAGAACAGCCCAAGATGTGTAAGTCCTTTGAGGTTTGAGCTAGGAATGTAAGAGGACCCATACATGACCAGAGCAAAGGGTGATCTAGTTTAGCCTCCTGTTTCTCACACAGGTGTCCTAGATGCCTCCAGAAATCACCCAAAGCAGGCAGGTCACCGGCATCCCTTCCCCTTCCCCTGTTCTTTCCCAGCAAATGGGATTTCGAGGCCTCTGTTCCTGGACGGAGCTTGTGGCCAAGATGACTAGTACGCCTTGGTAAACTTGTCCTCCAGTAGAAAGGCTGTGAAGGCCATTCATGGAAGTTAAAATCTATGATAAAGATCCAGCCACTTCTCTTCAATTGTTGTTTTAGATCTAGGAGGTTATCTTTATGAAAGCCATGAGGAACCTCTCATTTCTTTTCTATTTTCAGGGTCCAGTGGCCTTTGAGGAGGTGGCCGTGTCCTTCACCCAGGAGGAGTGGGCGCTGCTGGATCTTGACCAAAGAGCCCTGTACCAGGAAGTCATGGAGGAGAACTGGCGAACGGTCTCCTTTCTCGGTAAGACCCCTCTGGCCGATGCTAATATCTTTTGTTACTAGTGCAATGATGACACTAAGTAGCATGGAAACAGTAATTCTTCTGTGTTGGAATGTGGGATCCATAATGGCAGACTGGGCAACCTGTGACCCTCCAGATACAGTGGTGCCTCGCTTAACGAGGATAATCCGTTCCAGCGAAATCGCTGTAGAACAAAATCCTTGTTAAGCAAAATAAAAAAGCCCATTGAAACGCATTGAAAACCCTTCAGTGCGTTCCAATGGGCTGAAAACTTACCGTCCAGCGAAGGTCCTCCATAGGGGCAACCATTTTCACTGCATGTAAAGTGAGGAATCCATCCTAGAAAACAGCTGATGATCAGCTGTTTTAGATCATCGTACGTAATGCGAAAATCGGTTCCCAAGGCAGGGAACCAATCATCGTGAAGCAGATTTTTCCAATTTAAACTATCGTTTTGCAATCGCTTTTGCGATTGCAAAACCTAATCGTAAAGCAATTTCCTTGTTGAGCAATCATTAAGCGAGGCACCACTGTATACTGAGCTCCAGCTCCCATTATTGTAGGCAACTTTATCAAAGTAGAATCATGGTGAGAATAGTGTTTCACCAACATCTAAAGAGCTCAAGGTTCACGGTTTGCCCTAGAAGATTCTGGAAGGATGCAGCCCTCACTGGGAATGGGATTTTGGTCCTGACAGCTTAATCATGGAATTGTTTTTTAGTAAGGTATCTGATGACTGAGTGATGATTTAGTAACATGATTACCAATTACAGGGGCTTTTAGCGATATGTGTACTTCTCTATAACTTGTTGAACTGCATTTTTCAAATATGTCTTGGTCATATTCTGATTTTATAGAAGCTGATTTAATTAAATTTTCATACTTACAGTGCACTATCTTTCACTGTACTGGAGAAGTACATGCTAAAGGAGAAGCACCCTCCACCTTATGTTGGAGCAGCTAAATGTGTATGTTAAAATATTATGAGGTAAATTAAAAATACTGTGTTACTTCCTCCTGTTGTATGGGAAATATTTCAGAAATACAGACAGCAAAAACACTAGTTTAGCCATCATAACACTTGGAACAGATGGGAAGTAATGAATTAAAATAACAGTTGCCTGTGTTCTAAGACATCCCATCCTCCAACCTTCAGCATCAGTGGAAATTGGGAAAGAGAGGCCTGGGAGAGTCAGAAGAACAAGTAACACTTCACAAGATTTTCCACTCATTTTGGAGGAAGTGGAAGCAAAACAAATGAGGCAAATACTTGTCTCATGTGTCTGTATTTCTCAAAACATGTGAAACAAAATGGGTGGATGTGCTACGTGGCTCTCCATTGGCCATTTCCAGACTGCTTTTAATGCTTTCAAAGAAATGAATTTTTTTTTATCATTTAGTTAATCTCACAGTCTTGTTGCTCTCTTGGAATTCAATTTGTCTCCCAAAGGACCGCATTTTACACTTTGAGAACTGGTGCCTTTTACCAGGATGTGAATCCTCTTGTATTCAAGGGCTTAGTTTTCAGCAAGATTTTTTAAGAATTTTGATCTTTTCTGCAGAGGGGTTTATGTGAGGGGCTTCCCATTCTTTTTCCTCTGCTGCAGGGGTTGAAAGGATGCCATCAACAACGATTCATTCATTTCTTCCTTCTGATGGAGCAGAACCAGATCAGGTATGATCATGTTAGTTAACAGACATCATGTGTATTCCAATCATTGTGTATTCAACAATTTTATCCCTGAAGAAATATGGTTGTTCTTTTTTAACAAAATGTTCCACCTTTTTCATGCTTACATAGCAGCCAGGTGTGTAAGGAACAGTGATACCTATTGTATCTGGATGTTGCAGTGGGGAAGAATTCTATTTCTCTTGGACTATACACAGTCAGAGCAAAGGCTGATCTAGTTTAGCCTCCTGTTTCTCACAAAGGCTCCCTAGATGTCTCCAGGAATCACCCAAAGCAGGCTAGTCATCAGTATACCTTTCCCTCCCCCTCTTATTTCCGAGCACCTGGGATTCGGAGGCCTCTCTTCCTGGAAGGGAGGGCACGGCCAAGGTGACTGGCAGTTCTTGGTAAACGTTTCCTCCAGTATTAAGGCTGTGAAGGCTATGAATGGAAGTTAAAAGAACCTCGTGGTGCAGTGATTAAACCGCTGTACTTTTCCTCCAATATTTAAGGCTGTGAAAGGTATGAATGGAAGTTAAAAGAACCTCGTGGCGCAGTGGTTAAAACGCTGTACTGCAGCTAAAACTGTGCTCAGGACCTGGGGTTCAGTCCCAGGTAGCCGGTTCAAGGTTGACTCAGCCTTATATCCTTCCGAGGTCGGTAAAATGAGTACCCAGCTCACTGGGGGGGCAATGTGTAGCCTGCATAATTAAATTGTAAACCGCCCAGAGAGTGCTTGAAGCGCTATGGGGCGGTATATAAGCAGCACGCTTTGCTTTTGCTTTACTCTTTGCTTTAAAATATACGTTTCACCACTTCTCTTCATTTGTTGTTTTGGATTGAGGAAGTTTTCTTCATGAACCTCATGAGGAAGACCTGCTTTTTTTTTCATTTAGGATCCAGTGGCCTTTGAGGAGGTGGCCATCTACTTCTCCCAGGAGGAGTGGACGCTGCTGGATCCTGACCAGAAGGCCCTCCACCAGGAAGTCATGGAGGAGAACTGGCAAACTCTATCCTCTCTCGGTAAGTCCCCCTCCCTTTCCTCCCTGCTGATGCTAATCAATGTTTACCAGTGCAGTAATGACTAGTAACAATAACAACCATGATAGCACTTTTCTGTCGGAGTGGTGTCCCAAGTCACACGAGCCACTCTAGGATCCTTAATGCCATATGGGGCAACAGGTCATCCTCCAGATGTGCTCCCCCCCGCTTCGCTTATTGCAACTGACAAGTGTACACTGTCACCCAGGAATGACTCAGACTGGATGCCTGTGTGTTCCAAGTAGAATTCCCCTTGCTTTAGTGCCCAGGCTTTCATTTCTCTATTGAGTCCCCCTCTGCGAATGGTCCAAACAACGAGGGCCACAGTCCCCTCTCTCTATATGCCATGCCAGGATGGCTGACCAAATCATGATCGCCCCTTGGCCAGCTGCAAGGTCCCTCACTGCCCTCAAAATCGGCTTCTTTTCCTTTCGGCAAGCCAACATCAATGTACCCTAAATGTACCACTAAAATTTTAATTGTTGTAAGCTGCCCAGAGACCTTTGGGTAGAGTGGGCGGCATATAAGTTAAATAAACAAACAAACAAATAAATAAATAGATAAATTTGCAAGGCCAACAGCTGCCATTCATACGATTATAGAATGATGGAGTTGAAAGAGGCCTATAAGGCCATGGAGTCCAACCACCCCTGCCTGCTCAGTGCAAGAATCCAAATCAGAGCTGTTCCCCCCTGCTAAACATGGCAAAAGGCGCTCCCAAAACCTGCCCCATCTGCCTTTCCATTCCAAAGATGCCAGACATGGCAAGCCCCACATGGGGACCCACTGCCAATGCCTTTGCTTCTCAGACTGAGCAAAACAGGATGCGTTCTCCACAGAGGAGCATAAGCTTCTGCCCCCAGCCAAAACAAATGGACAGTATTAAATGCACGCCTGAGTATTATGGCTAGTGAGTGCACATATCGCTTGTAGCTGTGGGATCTCCACCTACCAATTCCCTCTCCAGTCCCATTGCCACTGCAGTTGATGCAGCCCCAATTTGGAAAGAATGCATGCAGACCTAAACGCTCCAAGGCCTGAGATGTAACAGTTCAAAACTGGTATTTGGCTAGTGGGCTCAGTTTGGTGCTGAAAAAGCCCATCCGTTCATGGTTCCATGAAGCCACAGTTCTTAAAATCCAATATGAAATAAAAAGACCTTAACTTGAATCCTAAAAGAGTGTAATGTTAGTTTCAAGTGCCTATGAAAGAAAGCACGGAGTGTCTCCTGGTCCTATTAGATACGTATTTTGTAGATATGATGGCAAAATTTAAGGGGGGAAAGGACAAAATATTGTAGCAATTATAAGATTAGGAGATTAATTTCCACCTGAACTTATATGCATCAAAATCCACTTTTTCAGAATACCTTCTTTTTCTTCTGCTGTAGATCTGTTTGTCTCTTCAATTCAGTCTTTTCTGCATTCGCCTTTCTTCCCAGAAGATAGCTGGAGAAAGAAAAATGCATGCCCCAAATGGGGAAAGAATTTTACGCACAAGTTACAGTTTGCCAGACACCAGAGAGCCCACACAAAGGAAGAAAGCTTTACCCGAGAGGAGCCCTACAAATGCATTGTGTGTGGAAAACACTTTTCCACGAAGATAGCACTGATGCTTCACAAAAGGATCCATAATGGGAAAAAACACTTTATAATTGAAGAATCTTGGGAACATTGTGACAAATTGAAGTCACAATTTGTGAGGCATCAAGGAGTCCATACAGGAGGGAAACCATACACATGCCATGACTGTGGAAAATCTTTTGCTTGGAACTCAAGTCTCCTTATCCATCAGAGAGTTCACACTGGAGAAAAACCATACAAATGCCAAGAATGTGGGAAATGTTTTTCTCAGAATTCACACCTTGTGACCCACCAGAAACTCCATACAGGAGAAAAAGCATTTAAGTGCCAAGAATGTGGGAAGTATTTTGCTCATAATTCACAGCTTCTCAAACATAAAAGAATCCACACAGGACAGAAACCATATGGATGCCAGAACTGTGGTAAAAGCTTTCCTTACAAATCACGCCTTCTAGTCCATCAAAGAGTCCACACTGGGGAGAAACCATACAAATGTCAGGAGTGTGGGAAATGTTTTGCTTGCAACTCACATCTTGTGACTCATCAGAAAATCCATACAGGGGAAAAACCATACAGATGCCAGGAGTGTGGGAAATGTTTCTCTCAAAATTCACACCTTGTGATTCATCAGATAGTTCACACAGGACTGAAAACATATAAATGCCAAGAATGTGGGAAGTGGTTTGGTCGCAAATCAGAGCTTTTGACTCATCAGAGAACCCATACAGGAGAGAAGCCGTATAAATGTCATGAGTGTGAAAAATGTTTTACTCAGTTTTCAAGTCTTCTGAAGCATCGCAGTTTGCATGCAGAAGAGAAAGCATACAAATGTCAGGATTGTGGGAAATGTTTTGCTCAGAATTCAGTGCTTCTGAAGCATGAGAAAGTGCACACAAGAGAAAAACCGTACAAATGCCAGGAATGTGAGAAATGTTTTGCTAATAGCTCACAGTTCATGAAGCACATGAGAGTCCACACAAGAGGGAAACTATACAAATGCCAGGAGTATGGGAAATGTTTTGCCCAAAGTTCATTTCTTGGAAAGCGTAAGAGGGTCCACAAAGGAGAGAAACCATACAAATGCCAGGAGTGTGGGAAAATTTTTGCCCAAAGTTCACTGCTTGTGAAACATAAGAGAGTCCACACAGGAGAGAAACCGTACACATGCCAAGACTGTGGAAAATGTTTTGCTCAAAGTTCACTCCTTGTGAAGCATAAGAGAGTCCATACAGGAGAGAAACCGTACAAATGCCCGGAGTGTGGGAAGTGTTTTGCTCACAGCTCACAGCTTGTGAGTCATAAGAGAGTCCATACAGGAGAGAGACCATATCAGTGTCAGGAGTGTGGGAAATATTTTGCTCACAGCTCGCAGCTTGTGACTCATAAGCGAGTCCACACTGGAGAGAAACCGTACAAATGCCAAGAGTGTGGGAAATGTTTTGCTCAAAATTCACCACTTGTGATTCATAAAAGAGTCCACACAGGAGAGAAACCGTACAAATGTCAAGACTGTGGGAAATGTTTTGCTCGAAATTCACAGCTTGTGAATCATACAAGAGTCCACACAGGGGAAAAACCATACAAATGCCAGGTGTGTGCATCATGTTTTGCTCAATATTCACAGCTTGTGAGTCATAATAGGGTCCACACAGGAGAAAAACCATACAAATGCCAAGAGTGTGGGATATGTTTTGCTCAGAATTCACAACTTGTGAGTCATAATAGGATACACACAGGACTGAATATATACAAATGCCAGCAGTGTGGAATTTCTTTTGCCCAAAGGTCACTATTTCTGAAGCATAAGAAAGTCCACACAGGAGAGAAACCATACAAATGCCAGTACTGTGGAAAATGTTTTGCCCACAGTTCATGGCTTGTCAGGCATAAAAGGGTCCACACAGGAGAAAAACCATACAAATGTCATGTATGTGGAAAATCTTTTGCTCAGAATTCAGAACTTGTTAATCATAAGATAGTCCACACAGGAGAGGAACCATATAAATGTCAGGAGTGTGGAAAATGTTTTGCTTACCGTTCACTGCTTGTGAAACATAAGAGGATCCACACAGGGGAGAAACCATACAAATGTGAGGAGTGTGGGAAATGTTTTGCCCACAGTTCATACAAAGATGGCAGCTGCGGCTTCCCTTGGGGAGCCTCGTGGCACAGTGGTTAAAACGCTGTACTGCAGCTAAAACTGCTCACTGGGCTTGTGAATCATAAGAAAGATCACACAGGAAATAAACTATACAAATGCCAGGAGTGTGGGAAAATCTTTGCTGACAATTCACACCTTGTGGTCCATCAGAGAATCCATGCAAGGGAATAACTCCTTCAAATTCCGTTAACATGGAGAAATGTTTTATAGTTCATATTCCACATGTTGTGATTCTTCAGAGAGTTACCATAGGGGAAGAACCACACAAATGACAGGAGTATGGAAAACATTTTTCTAATCATTTAGAGGCTACTAGGAGTCCATCATGAAATAATAGATATAATCCTCTGACTGCTCTTAGCCTGAACAAAATTCAGGAAGCAGTATGATGACATCTTGAGGTAAAACACCAGAGCTATTAATTACTAATTCCGCTTGCTAGTTCTTCAGATGGCATTTGTATACATAGGAAGAAAATGAAAGAATTGTGAGGTTCAGAGCTTATGATAACCAGATGGGTTCTGCGCTGAAACTGCTGTTTTGTATTTTGTTCTCGCTGAGGAGAAGCTGCATGTATTATCCATTATTCATAGCTTTCTAGCAGCAGAAACCAATGAGCAGGTTCAGGCCCCTCAAACAGCATTCTGGGTCAAAGTTCCAGTCACCCCACCCTATCTACTTTCTGTAAGACGCCTTCCAATCTCTGACCATGAAATAAAATTGGAGAATAGGAAAAGTGTGTTGGCACCAAATCCTTTCTCACCTACTTGCCACGTTCAATCATATGAGCTTGCCCTCAGGGAAGCTGGGCTGCCCTTTACAAAGATGGCAGCTGCGGCTTCCCTTGGGGCAGTGGATTCTGCCCTGTCTACCTATGGCCCACTGATCAGCTGCCCTAAGGGAAGCTGTAGCAGTGGTGAAGGCAGAGAAGCAGAAGATAGGGCCTCGTGGCACAGTGGTTAAAACGCTGTACTGCAGCTAAAACTGCTCACGACCTGGGGTTCAAATCCCAGGTAGCCGGCTCAAGGTTGACTCAGCCTTCTATCCTTCTGAGGTCGGTAAAACGAGTACCCAGCTTGCTGGGGGGGCAATGTGTAGCCTGCATAATTAAATTGTAAACCGCCCAGAGAGTGCTTGAAGCGCTATGGGGCGGTATATAAGCAGCACACTTTGCTTTTTTATAGGGAGGCAACAGGGCTGATGGAAATGGGGAAAAGACGAGTGGGAAGGAGGCAGGGGAAAGCTGTGGGGGAGCAACAAACCAGCAGGTTTGTAAATCACCCCCAAATTCATTGCTTCTGGAAGATATGGTTCTCCAGTTTGTATGAACCAAAACTGATGCAAAGCAATTAATTGGCATTTTTCACAAATTTCCTGATTTCATTTGAGCTTCATGCCAATTTCTGGTTATATATCTTTGGGCGAAATCTCTTAAGAGCTATCAATAACATCTCAATGGTTGCACCACAACACCCATTTTGATCTGCAAGATTCCAGCAGAATCCGCCCAGGTCAACTCAGCCCATAGAGCCCAGGAGGACTTGGCTCTCTTGATCTTAGAGCAGTTGCATTCCCACTCAAAAGACATAGACTTGGTCCCACCTTAAAAGTTGATTCTGTTTTCAAAACCAGTTCCTTCAAGTCAGAACCCTCAGATTCAACCACATTGAGACTTAAGTCCTTCCATATCAAAGAAACGGAAAAAGCCCACCCAGGACAATTAACAACCCAAGAAACTGGAAGCAACGCCTACACAACCCAAGAACTTAAGCCCTTGGAGTCATCAGCAAACTCCACCATCTACAACCACCCAGTATTATATTGGACACTATTTTTCCTTTTTAAAAAATAACTGTCTAGTTTGCCTTGATGTTCATGGTGCAGCATGGATGATGCCTCCTGTAAGCATTTTGGAGGTGCCCCTTGTTAAGTTTCTGTCTCACTGAACAGTGGTTAGGGAACAGGGGTAAATTACCCCAAATGGGGTAAAAATGAAAATTTTCTGTCTCACTGAATATAACAGTGGTCAGGAAACAGGGGTAAATTACCCCGAATGGGGTAAAAATTAAAATCCTGGGGGTAATGAGGACGTGACCCTAACTCCCTTCTCCTCCTCCTCTTCTCCCTGGGGAGGGGGTTCCCAGCTGCCTAATTGCCCCCTTCTCCGGCCTGGCTGCAGCCGAGCCACAGCAGATGACAGATGGCGGCCGGCAATGGGCCCTGGCTGGCGGCGTACGGCAGCTGAGGTGGCAGCGGCAGGGCCGGCCATGGCAGAGGGCGAGTGGCTGGAGTGTCCCAGCCCGGAGGAGCCTCTCCTTCCAGCGCCTGGAGAGGTGGATCATGGCGGAGGGGGGAGGCACTACCATGATGGTGGCCCAGGCCAGGCTCAGCCTCCGGGACGCCGACGCCAGCCCACACCCTGTCCCCGTTCCCAGAGGAGCCAGTTGGGCGGCAGTGGCACTAGCCCAGCCGCACAGCTTCCTTTGGTGGCACCTCCATGCCAGCCAGTCAGGCCTGGTGGAGCCTCTCACCTTCCATGTGGCAGCTCTCACGGCGCTTCAATGGCGAGGCCCATGGGAGCCCTGGCGCCGAGGCCTGATGCGGCCACCCCGGCAAGCAGCCGCTGGTGCCGGAATGGGAGGTGGCATCGGGCACCCCCAGCAGGCGTGCCACCTGCTGCTCTTCAATGGCCACCCAGGATCCTCCTGCCGGTGGAGAAAGGGAGCCGCCCCCGCGGGGCCAAGAACTGAGCATGGCCCCGCCAGGCAGCTGTGGAGGAGGCACGGGCGGCGAGGCGTCAGCAGCGGCGCTCGACTGGCTGCGCGTGACTGAGATCCTTTCAAATGAAGGGGGTAATGTTGGCATATATAAATTTTTTAGAGGGTAAAAGGTAAAAAAGTTCCCTGACCCCTGGAATATAAGACCCTATGGACCAGAGCATGCCAGGCCCTCCTGTCTTCCACTGCTTCCCAGAGTTGGGTCAAATTCATGTTGGTCGCTTCAATGACACTGTCCAGCCATCTCCTCCTCTGTCGTCCCCTTCTCCTCTTGCCTTCACATTTTCCCAACATCAGGGTCTTTTCCAGGGAGTCTTATGAAATGGTCAAAGTATTGGAGCCTCAGCTTCAGGATCTGTCCTTCCTGTGAGCACTCAGGGTTGATTTCCTTCAAAATGGATAGGTTTGTTCTCCTTGCAGTCCAGGGGACTCTCAAGAGTCTCCTCCAGCACCACAATTCAAAAGCATCAATTCTTTGGCAGTCAGCTTTCTTTATGAGGCTACTGTCACCATCTGCAGTGATCATGGAACCCAAGAAAGTAAAATCTGTCACTATCTGCATATTTTCCCCTTCTATTTGCCAAGAGGTGATGGGACCAGTGGCCATGATCTTAGTTAGAACCTTATCCAGTTCTAACTGTTGCTTCCTGTCCCACATAAAGAACCTCTTAATAAGGGTGAAAGAGAGCGCAAAAATGGTCTGAAGCTCAACATCAAAAAAACTAAAATCATGAAGATGCCCATGGCCACAGAGACTGGCGAAACGTTAGGAAGAACCACTTTCAGAACACGGCCAAGAAGCCTGAAAAACCCACAACAACCAGCATTGGGGTCATCAGGGGGTGTGGGGCTTCGTGCCATCAGTAGGCTGATGACACCCAGCTCTACATCTCTGTAAAAAGGTTCAACTTTTCCTCCTGGCAGTTCCTCTTTAAATGAATGGAATTACAACGATGGCATATCAAAAAATAAGTTTTTATTAACAGAACTTGCACTTTCCTTATTAACAGTTTCGTTAATTTCTTTAAAAGCAATGGTTGGGATTTTTCTTCTCAAAATAACATTAAAGGGTCATTTGTTGTTTGTTCTTTTATTGGTAATGATGAGGATAAACCTTCCTGCAATCGTCAGTCTTGTCAGACTCCCTCTGTGAACTGCACCAGTCGTGCCTCAGCAGGGGTGACGGCTCGAATCCCCCTTGAGTGGTTTTTCTCCCAGTTGAAGGGGACGATGGCAGATAGAAACCCAGGTGGCATCAGTGGTCCGCTCTGCCTATTTCCATCTGTGGTGGATTGCCCAGCTGCGTCCCCATCTTGATGTTGGGGCCCTCAACACTGTGGTCCATGCACTTGTAGTCTCGAGATTAGACTACTGTGATGTGCTCTACGTGGGGCTATCTTTGAGATTGATGCGGAAGCTTCAAATGGTGCAGAATGTGGCAGCCAGATGAGAAAATACGAGCATATCTCTCCCACTCTGGCTGCCATGCATTGGCTGCCCATTCATTTCTGCATTGATTTCAAAGTGTTAATGATGACATATAAAGCCCTAAACGGTTTAGGACCTCAATATCTAGTGGAACGCCTCCTCCCAACTAGATCTACCTGAAGCACTCATTCTAGTCAGGAAGGGCGGCTGAGGGGCCTAACGCCGAGGGAAGCCTGGAGAGAAAGAACAAGAAACAGGTCTTCTCGGCAGTGGCCCCTCAACTTTAGAACAGTCTTCCCCAGATATCTGTCTGGCTCCCTCACTGGGTGTTTTTAAGAGCAAACTTAAGACCTGGCTCTTTAGGCAGGCTTTCCCTCCTGTCATCACTTGAATTTCGTTTCCCCATCTTGTGCCACATTACTATTGCAACTCTCTTCACCCTCCATGTAGCTTTAGGTTCCAATTGTGATGGAGCAAAGTTACACATGCGTGCAAGGCAGAGCCCTATCCAGCGGAGCTGAAAGTTAGAGGGTACATTGGGAGTAACTGTCCATTATTTTTAATTTTGCTCTCCTCCTCCTTTCCAATAATAATGACAATAATAATCAAATATGTTTTAGCCAAAAACCTCCCGGTATATGTCTGAATTGTCTGAAAAGAAGACCGAGGACCCATTTCAGGTCTATTTTATGTCTTTTGGTATTTTGTTTCTAGGAGAGGTGATCCACTGTTTATATTTTCCTCAGTTAAGATA